ATTCAACATCGAAAAAATCACCACTATTTCACATCAGAAATTCATCATTAGGATATATGGATTATCAAGATCCACATGAATCAATTCCAATTTTTGTTTATCATCAACAGAGTTCAATAATTATCCTCAGATTTCAATTAAAAACCACTGTCAAAATTCACCTCAAAAATCATATTAACGTTCAAGAATTATCGAACTAAACATCAATCAATTAACCAACACCACACCTATTCATCATCATCTACTCAATTACTCCACTAAAAACAAGATTCGCAGATCAACCATGACATAGCAATTTCAATTCATGAACGTATTAATTCAAGATTTCATCAATTTAAATCTCATCGTAAACAATGGAATTAATCAAGATTTAGGATAATTTACTGAAGGATGATGTCGAAAATTCGAATCAGAAAAGAAACAGAGGTGTTGACGAAATAGATCATGCAAATATGAGGAGAATGTAGAGGAGTAGAGATCGTTTGAAGAAGGAGTGTCAGACGACAGAAGGGAGGAGTGGCGGTCGGCTAGGCTTATAAGTGGCAGTCGGCTAGGCTTGCAGGTGGCGCCCGATGGATAGTAGTGTGCGTGCGGTAGGAGTGACGAGAGAGAGAGAGAGAGAGAGAGAGAGAGAGAGAGAGAGAGAGAGAGAGAGAGAGAGAGAGAGATGGAAAGGCAAGCGCTAGGTTGGAGGGAATAAAGTTTTCAATTTTCTTTGAATCTTGAGAGAAAAAGTAGAGAGAATTATGAGCGCTTCTTTTGTGAAATTTTGCAAAATGAATCCAATCCCTTGAAAATAGTGTGAAAAAATTGATATATAGTTTTGACAATTGGGCCTTGGTTTTGGCAAAGAGAAAGCCCAATCAATTTCTCGCTAGTGCAGATTTTCAATGGCAACAAACATGATCGAATTGACAATTCTCAAACTCAATAATAATCGGTATAAAATCTCGATGCGAGACCAACATCAAAATCGTAAATGAGGAAATTTGTGACGTCGTGCCGAAGGAATCGTCTCGATACGATAAAAATTGAGCAAATTATGAATTTTTGAATGGCGAGAAACTTTGGCTCTGACACTGTATTTTTCAGTAGTGCAAAACTTTCCACTGTTCAGTTTAAGTTGTGAGCCATGAAACGAAGTCTTCAGAGCTGAATCCAAACTCGAGCTCTGAAGAAAATTTATAGTTAACGTCATTTGTCAAATTATGCCGAAAGAGTCGCCTCTTTACGATAAAAATCGAAGATGTATTGATGTTTAGAATATCGAGAAACGGTGAAATAAAAATTCGGTTCAGCACAAAAATTTCTCTGATAATTTGCATTTCCAGGGACCTTCCTCAAAGAATTATTACTCGACCCGAACATACGCGACGAAGATGACATCGAGACGGATTTTTCGCACAAAGAACCACTCAAAAACGTTGAGCCGGGTGGAAGTTATGAATTTTTGAACGTCTGAAAAAATAACGGTTCAGCACACTGTTTTCACCATATTTTCACTGTTTCTTCTCAAAGTATACGCATATTCGGAGATCTTCCTTACTGAATCATCTTCCGAGCCAAACATACAAATTGAAGATGATATTAAGACAGATTCAACTCCTCAAGAATCTCTTCAATCCAATCAGAAGTTACGAATTTTTGAATACCCACGAAACAACGGGCCAACAATTAAATCAGTGCACTGTCTTCGAAGAATTAAAACTCTCGAAGGTCTTTTCCATAAAATTAGTCTTCGATCCAAAAATGAGAAGTGATAAGAAAATCAAGACGGTATCAATGCTTTAAGAATCATCCGAAAACACTGAATCGGATGAAAGTTATAAATTTTCGAACACCCAAGAAACAGATAACCAGTCATTAAATTCAAATACCGTTTCAGGGAAATCAAATACTTTGGAGACTTTCTTCACATAATTGACTTCCGGTCTGAACAAATGAAATGAAGAAAATACTGAGACGGTTCCAACGCCCGAGGAACCATTTCAAAATAATATCCCGATTGTAAGTTGCGAATTTCTAAGCTCAAACCAGCAAAAATGTTATTTCTGATTTGCACCATCTCAAATTCATTGAAACACCCAATTCCTCCACAATTCAGAGTGTATTAACATAAATGAGAGCTTGACATAATGATGGCTCGATTGATTATTAATTTGATAGCTTGCGAAATGTGAAGAACACCTTTAAACCTCGAAAAACCAAAGTTTTTTCCTTGTTATACTGCCCGACGAAACAATCTTTTTGTGTAGCTTCCGGAAAAAAAATGCCTTGATCCCATTATCATATACTGATTAATGATGCATGCAATATTAAATGATCTAATGAGAAATATGTACATGAAGAATGCAAGATGCATAAGCCAGATGATCCTTATGAAGGGGTAGGACAAATCTGAGGTATGACACCAGGTAACATGTTACACAGCTACAACAACGAATCTATAACATATATTCTTAAAGGAACAACGCTCAAGATATTTTCAAGACATATACATCCAAATACATTTTTATGAAAGCATTTGCCATGATAACATTTTCTCAAGATAATGAAATTTTGGAACTTAAAAAACTCGGAAAAAATTTCAATGATGGATTGCAAGTGCAAAAAAAACATTTCCAATGTTTGGAGCTGATATTTCCTTACTTGGGGTAGATAACTCTTTAGAAGTTGATTGCATGCAGTTCATTGAACTTTAAATTAATGAGCACAAAATATATGCAATAGGATCTGAATTAGAGCAAAGATGTGTTATTCTCCAAAAACAACAACTATGATAACACTGCATTTGTTATATTAATGTAATTTAATATTTTGTGTAAATGAAATAATATAAATAAAAAAATATTATGCACATTTTATCTAGGTTTTTGACAGAGACTGGAGAAATAATTTTGGCGTGATTATTGTGGATATTTATCACAGTCGTTAAACAAAATATCTATCATCCATTTCATGAGTATCAATGTTTAATCCATTTCCATTAGTGATCTGCGTGAAACCTAACAGACATTCATTATAAAAGTATTTTGAATATCAATAATTTTTAGTGAACCATAATATGAAAATTTGAAGCGTAAAAAACTCGATAAAATTCTTTACAATGGATTGAAAGAGCAGAAAATAAATTGTGTTTAAGATTTGTGTTCTTTAATAATCAATATTTTTATGGTGTTCTTCAATAATCATATATTCATTCATTTATCTAATCATTTTCTTGTTTTACATTAGAAACAAATAAATGTGAAAGAGATCTGAAATATATTGCACCCAACATTTTCTCTTGTCCGACAATTCAATGATTAAAGACCTTAATTCTCTAATTCATCATGAATTCAGCTTTTTCATCAAAACTCTGAAACTCGTCATATTCATCAGTGGCATTAACTTTCATTTCTATAATCATCATATAATTTACAGCAAAATGACAGAAACGAAAGTCAATACTAAACACAACATTGACATGAGTTTATCATGAATTCATCAATAACATACATACGACATCACAACCACAACAATGACATTTTAAACCTATTGGAAAGGAAAGACCTCTCCTTATTCCATCATGCTAAACACCTATAATAGAGAAATTTCCCCCTTACCTTAGACTCCTACAAGCAAAACTGATTTCTAATTAGAATTGGCATTCTTCCCTCAAGCCCTAGCCTCCTTTTCCCCAAAGCTCCTGTCTCTTTTTCTCTTTTTGGTTTCACTACGCCAAAAATGATTTTTTGTATCACCTAATTTAATAGCACTTTTAAAAAAAATGCTATTAAAATGGAAAAAACACATTTATAATAGCACTTTTTAATCGGGCGCTATTATATAATACAGACTATGTAATTATGATAGCACTTTGTACCAGAACGCTATTATTAAACTTCTTTAAGATAGCATTTTGTATAAAACGCTATTATTTGACTACTTATATAATAGCATTTATTAAAAAGCGCTATGTTATATATAATAATTAATTAATTAATTAATTGATAAAAAAAAAAAACACATTTTCATTTTTAGTCAGATTTAGCTCACTTCTAATTATCTAAAACTAAAAGAAAATGCAAATAAAATTGAATTGGGGTTAGGGTTAAAGAATTGAGTCTTCATCTTCTCACAAAAATACAACTCCCTCTTCTCTGATTCCTCAAGCTATACGCTAATCGCTCACCATATCATGGTCTTTGACTTGTCTCTCAACGAATTCTACTCAGACATGGTGGTCCACTTCTTTCTCTGGTGATCTCTGACACACCACTCAACGGCGCCTCCATCTTTGTCATCGCGTATCGACCTCTTCTCAACCTTCAGTTGGAGTTTTAATCCACGAACTCCACACCGGTATCGATTTAGCTTCTACGGACTTAAACTAGACGCCAAGCTTGAAGAAACATAGATATGCAAGATTTAGAGGAGATGATACTTATCAATCGGATCCGCTCCGATGGCATTTTGTAGCGACGAAGATATCGAATAGAAATCCAGATATTCTTAAGAAATAGTTCAAGTACGCTTTCTCTTCGCTCTCTTCTTCGTGATTTTGAACCTTATGTTGATGTGCATTGCATTTTTTGTGAAGCTGAAACTTAATGATGATCGAAGATTGAAGTAGAGAGTAGAGCATTGAGGACTTTGTTGTTGAGGGTTACGGTGTGATGAATGAGGAACTGTGAAGAATTTGCGGAAGATGGTGAAGATGCAGATTGAGAAACAGTTATGGAAAGAGAATGCAGAGAGAAATTTTCTCGAGTAACTGATGAAGAATGATGAAGATGAGAGGAGAAGAGATAGTTTGAGAGGGTTTTTGTGTGATTCTTCAGCGATTATGAAGAATAATGAGAATGGATTGAGGTGGTTCAGAGAAAGATCAAGCTCTGAGTTTTTTTTTTGGTATTTTCTTATTCTCCAATGGTTGTTGAAGAATGAATGTGAAGTAGAATATGAGAAGAACGAGGGTGTTTTAGCTATTTTTTGGTGATTCTTCTGCAAAATCCAGAATGAATGAATCTCCAGTGAGTTTTTCTGTATTAATTTGTTATGAGTTTGTTAGGAAATAGAAAATCTTAACCTTTTGATTAAAGTTAGTTACAAAAAGTTGAAGGTTGAGATTAAATCTGGTATGAGGTTAGTTTGGGAATTCCCATCTTTTGAGTTTTCGCTCTGATTTTATATTTTTGTGTTTCCAATGTTTTCCTTGATTTCTCTATTTTGAGTGTGAGGCAGTTTTTGTTTGGTAAAGCTTTGATACAGCAGTGATATTATTTAGGCTCGATTTTTTCATTCAGTTTTGTTAAATTGAATGAGCAGGGCTATAACATAGTTTGATCCAATGGTCCATGATGCAAAGTTGAAACTAGCATGGTGTAGCAAAGTTCATGGAGTTTTGAAGCATGAAGTTTGACATGAACTCGTAGAATTAGGACATTCATTAACTTGCAACATTTTTATAGTTTTACTTCAAGGCCAAAGTACTCTTCTTACGGGGAGTGTATTCCTCTACCTCTAGTTTCAATTAGACTTCAGAGATGTTTGTTTTTTATTTTAACAACTAGAGATATTTTCCGTTTTCAATTTACTGTTAAATATATTACTTTCCTTATATTCTTTGAAGTTTTCTTGTAAGATGTGGCTCAACATTTACAGTTTACTTTGTTTGGCATGAATTGCATTGAGTGATATCTTCCATCTCCCCTTTTAGTAAGGTGGCCAACTGGATTTTGTACCCAAATTATACAACAATAACCGTCTGTCCATGATTTCAGAGAACTGCATCCTCCGGTAGCTTGGTATCCAGTAATGAAAGCCAAGTAAATATTAAGCTTGAGACTACTAAGAACCTTATTGATTTTGATGCTGATCCTATTGCTTCCACAATTCCTCAAGCCCAACAAACTAGCGCGCCTCAACCTGTTTTGCAGCCAGGAAATTCCAGTGATGACAATTGGGCCTCTTTTGATATTGCTTCTGAGAAGAAAGCAAATCAAAACACCTCAAATTTAAATCCACTTGAATCCGTACTGTCCCAATTGTCTTATTCGGCATCTTTATCTTCTCATGCTTCGGGAGTCCAAGGTGATACACAAGTTGTAATGGCAGTGTGATAACATCACCAAGAAGTGATGACTCATTTTTTTTATATCTGCAGGACCTATTCCAGCAGGGGCTCTTAGTTTTGGCAGTTTATCATCTTTCCCATCCAATGATGCTTCGATGCCATCTTCCGGACTGGAAGTTGTATTACCTCATAATAATGTAGGAAAGTGGGCTAGTTCGCAGCATCAGCAACCAATGTTCTCTGCTGTAAATAGTCAGGTTTGGATAATGGAGTTGTCATGTCAAATACTGTTGACTGTTTATTTATGATGTAGCATTATTTTCACCATCCTGGAAATATCTTGCAGCCATCGCATGTACCTTCTGTACCCACAGGACAGGGATATCCCAACTCACCAATGCCTCATGCATACCATCGTGCTTCGAAGCCAGCCAATGAGGCTTTTAACAGTATTCTTTCTCAAACTTCTGCTGTAGAAGTAAAACCAAGTGGAAGAACAGAACTTTCTGAAGTAATTGTGACTTAGTTTGCTTCACAACCTCTGCCTTTTGTATACACTTGCATGTGTTTATTGTTTGCCTAACAATTAATTGTGATTGATGCAGGATCTGTTCACTGCAAAACACTCTTCCTTCTCTGCTCCAGTTCAAGGTTGGCAGGCGGGTCTTCCCCAGGGCAGGGGCATCTCAATGCAATATAATAATAATGTGGCGGTACTGTTACAATCCAGAATGATTAGCTTACCAGATTATCTTACTATGCATTTAGTTTTTATGCTCCAAACAGCTTATGATTAATAATCAGAGAGAGAGGACCTTTTTTTTTATATTAAAAAGGACATTTCCTTCATAAAGAGTCAACCAAATGGATGCTTTTAATCTGTAACTTGTACAAAAAATGAGTATTTCTCTCATAAATATGCGCCCTCTGTTACAGCCCATACCAAGTTTTTCGGAGCCATCAAGGTCAACAAATCCATTTGATGTCGGCAGCAAACAAACCCCAGATCAAGACCCAGGTGTATGTGACTTTCATTGATTTATAATATGAGTATGTTTACTGTGTTGTACTATTGCCAATAATAGTTCCTACTCTTGTCAATGCTTGGTGGATAATGCATGAGTATACAATTGAGGAATTTTCTCTTCGAAAGTTCATATTTGTGGAAGTTTAACAATTGATTGGATTTTGTCCACAATTAAGTAAAAAACTCTTCATTTATTTTTTGGTTCTATAGGAAGTTAGTAACTGTACATTACTGCGTAAAGTTTGCATCTTGCATAATTATTAAGAATATTGGATGTGTTGAAAATTGATGTCTTTGTTTTGTTTGTGATCTCCTATCATTGAAAAGGTTGGGACATTGAAATATGATATACTGACTTTTTAACATGTTGATTCATTGGTTAATTCAGACAGGCAACAACCTGAAGAAGTGGAAGAAAGGCAACAACCTAAACAAGTGTCAGAGAGGTTGCAACAACCTGAAAAAGTGGCACAGAGGCAACACCTTGAACAAGTGGTAGAAAGGAAACAACCAGAAAAAGTAGCTGAGAGTCGACTACCTAGTGATAAAGGTTCTATGATACAGGAAAACAAGAAGCAATTATTTTGCCTAATTAGTGATTGTATCTATGAGTTCAACGCTTTTGGATCATGAAGGTGGTTATTACATGGGATTGTTTTGTTATCCTTTCTTATTTTTTTGGTGTTTTGTTTAGAGAATTTGATTGTATGTTTTTGGATTTGGATTGAAGTACTCATAGATGGGCATCTACAAATTTGGCTATGCAAACGCCCTCTTAATATTCTATATGTTATGATATTTAGAAACAATAGGATTTGGTAATTTAAAATGTTATTTGGTATTTGATGGATCATAATATATATGCAATGAGTAACTTAAAGCGTTATTTGTGTTGAATTGAATATAGTTATTTTATATTTACACCAAAAAAAATGATTGTGTAAGAAAAAATATTGTACTGTATTTATTAAAAATATTGTACCAAATATGTACCATTTATTAGCACTTTATTTGAAAGCGCTATCAAACATATGTTATATATTAGCGCTTTTTGTTTAGAGTGCTATAAAAAAACAAACAAAAAACATGCAAAATACTGACTTTGATAGCACTTTAATTAAAACGCTATTATAAATTGGTACTTTAATAGCGCTTTTAAAGTGCTATTAAATAAGAAATATTTACAATAGTGGCGCGGTTAATAGCACTTTTAAGCGCTATCAAAAACAAACAAAAAAACGTTATTAAATAGCTTATTTGGCGTAGTGTTTCCACGTATCTAACAAAAGTTAGGTTACTTTACTCCTTTTTGTTATCTCCAAAATCTTAACTAGTTATCTCCACCATGCCCTCACCTATTATCATAATCACAATAATGTCTCTACTTTCTCATAATTTCATTTATTTTAATATTAAATTTAATAATTCAATATTTCACCAAATATTAATATTTTCTCTTATTTTAGTTAATTAAAAAATACTAATATTCTATTTGTTTTTAATTATTTCTATCAAGAGTCCACTCTCTCGCCAATACCACTAACATAGCTCATATAAACGCATAATTTATTTAATTAAAGCACATATCATACTCTAAATTAAATAAACACATAAATAATTGAATTAAATCAATTAATCAAATTTATGGTATTACAATAAACATCATATCATGTTACACCCTCAAAATATGGTTACATAGAGTATTCATAATAAATATTTGGACGAAGATATTTTTCTTAATTTATATAGATTTAGAGAAATATTTTTGAAGTAAACAAAAGAAAAAACTGAACAATAGAAAGAAAAGAAGGAGTTCCAAAGACTCAAAGCAAAAACAAAGAAAAAAAGAATACTATAAAGTTTTTGGTGTGAGTAGAAAGTTGGAGGAACTCTTTATTTTTACTATAAAAAAAAAACCACTAGCAACCCTATGAACGAATAGTTCAAATTATTTAATACCTTTACGGAAACGAACTATCATATAAAAATGGTGGGATTGAAATGAGGACTCGAGGTTCGGTCAAACTCATTACTCGACACACACTCGTGTGACAAGCGTGTGTGAAGAAAATGGTGTGTCAATTTCAAAATTTTATTTAAAAAAATTGAAGTTTTGGGTATCAAAAATAAATGATGAGATCTACGCTATTCTATTCGTTGTGAAATTAGGAGTAATTTATTCTTAATGACCTAAACTAATGAAATTTTATCATATAAAATTAATTTTTAAAATCACATATTAATCCAAAAGTTTAAGATATTAGGTCTATGTTTTTTTTTTTGAAAAAAAATTCAATATCCTCTTTTTTATCTCATATGAAAATTATTACTCACACTTGTCATACAAACATTTTACTACTCAAAATCAAATTATATATTTTGTAACACACCAAATTTCTCTAAACATGAGTAGGAAAGACTAAGAGATAAATTTTTAATCAATAGATTTAATAGCAATTAAAAAAGAAATTAGTTGGAAAAAAAGGTTTTGGTTAGAATTTAGCTAGAGGACACATAGGTGATTATTGCAAAGTTGGAAGGCAATATAGTCATTACTCATATAAATGAGTAACATAAGGGGGCTGTTTGGAAACAAACCTCATATATTTTGAGTTAGTAAAACAGAATTCTTGGAAGGAAAGAAGAAGAGCACGTGAGTTGGGAAGAAGAGGAGGAAGTTTGGGAACTCAAGTGTCATTATCAACATGCATGAACAAGAAGATTCTTGAAGATGGTAAGGTTTTGGTTTCAAGAAAAAAACAAGCTTGGCTTGGAAATCATTATCATCTTCATCATCACTTTCATCAAATTCAGAATCTCCTCTCAATTAAGGTAAGTTTCATAGATAGAAATTTTGGGTAAGAGAATAAGAAATAATTATACATTGGGGATTTTTGGGTGAGACAAAATGTTTTCATGTTAATCAATTGATAAAAATATGTTCTCTTGATGATAATGTATGTATAATATTGTGATTACTGAAGCAACTATAGAAAAATAAACAATGAAGTCGTCATTGAATATTTATTTATCTCACAGAAGAGAAAGGAAAACATCGAAGAAAACCTAAGAAAGGAGAAATCAAGGTCTCGCAACCAAGAGAACGAGTACGGAAGTCGATTATTCAAAGAGAATGTGTTAGCACCCTCACGTCCGTGGTACTCCACGTGATCCACTCTTGTTGTTCTAATCAAAAAGTGTGTCTCATCTAAAGCTAACAAGCTAAAGGAAAATGCATAATGCAAAGTATATACACGAAAAGAAAGTTTTTATTAGTTGTGTCCGCCGCAGTTGCGAACCTTTGTGCCTACGTACCATTTTCGTGCAATGAGAGATCAGGACACTCGTAGTTCACCTAACAAGGTATTTTGGTTTGTTTTGTGTTTTTTAGGCGGATAATATTACATTCACACTCTAACAGTTGACATATTGCAGTCCGACCTTTAGAGACATATGCGTCATTTTGCGCATAATGGAAATAACACATTCTTTTTATGAAAAGGTTTCCGAAGAAAAGTCGAATGCAGCCCAAAGGCAAAAAGTTTGAATTGGTTTAGTCTTTTTTACCTTGGAAAATGATTTCGTGATTTGAACCACATTAAAGACTATGATTAAAAGAAAGCACAAAGTTAGGAAATGCACCCCCTTATATGCCTCCAAATACTTAAGGCTCGTAACACGTGGTTCGCCTCTTTATTATTAAGTATTTTGAGATTTAATTAAGAAAAAGAAGTTTTAGTTTTAAAGATGCAAAATGGGAATGAAAAATTCTAAGGGGGACTAGAGTTCTAATGTTGTCATGTACAATGGTCTTAAAGTTAGGATGAAAGGAAAACATCTACCTAAGTTAACGTGCATGGATATCAATTCTAAAGTCTATCTCAATTCAAATCTTGAATAAGATTGAATCAATAAATCCTATAGGAACATGGCATAAAGCACAAACAAGTGTCTCAAGGAGATCGATCATGAATTAGGTCAACAAATAAACAATCATCAACCACATGTATCATCACAACTATAGCAGAAGTGCACACACAAAAAATCATTGTCTACTTCGAGGTAGGACTTCTAGATAAAATATTGCCTACAACGGTAGGACTTCCAGTCATGCATCTCTATCCTACTTCTCATGGCAATATTAATTGAAAACGATGCAAGAATGAGATAGTAAAGAGATCTCAAGGGATACCAAACGGAGAAGGTTGTTGTCTTTTCAATGCGCTAAACTCAAGAATCATTGCGGGAGCTTCACCAACAAGCAGCCGGATTAGTATTCAAATGCACAAAAATTATGTCATCGATCAACATCGAGTAAGAATAAATCGCAAGTAAAAAGTGTGTCAGATAAATCCAAGGTATCAGATAAGAATTCCAATTCCTGTATCAGATGAAAAATAACGCAACCAAACAAAACCATGATAAATGAAATATGAAGTAAATGTCTAATTAATTAATTAAGAGTTGATCAAATTAATTAATTAGGTTAAGAAAACTTAATTAGTAAAGATAATTAATTTTTAGTAACAAAATTAACTAATTAAATCGAATTTTAATTAATTAATTAAAAACAACAAAGAGATGCTAAGAGGAAATGAGTGTTTGAACCATCATTGGAATCCTTCACAATAACAAACTTGTTAGTAACATCAGAGGGATTAAAAGAGACAAATAGACTTGCATCAAATTACATATATTAGTAACCAAATTTCACAATTAGAAATCACCATACATACATAAACAAGCAAGAACATGAATCGAATCACAATTGACATCAACTTGTGAATTAATAAGGAAGTAGCAAGACAATTAGCAACCAAGAGTTCATCAGAATTTCAAGTTTCACCACACATTAAACCACATTAGGAGCACAATTTATCATTCTCAAAATCAAAACCAAAATCACATAGAACTAAACTCATAGTATATACAAATTAACTTAAAAAATGAGCAAAACAAGAATTAGACCAAGATTTTTAACCTCTTTGCAATATTCTAGCAACAACCAATGAGAATCAAATAATATTGAAAACTCATCTCAAATGAGTTCTAAACAAAGAGAAGATGAAATGTATAAGTTACACCAAATGATATTCAATCAAAACCAATTCCGAGTCATACAAGAATTCAAAAATATCACTAAAAATGACTCACAGTTAAACACTCACACTCTCTAATGTCATTAGAAATGACTCAAACCAAAGAAAATTAGCATCACAATTCCATATAGAAATATCAAAATGAAATTAAATACGGTTGCACATGATAGATTATCAACTAAAATACTAAATGAACGTAAAAAGAGAAGGTTGGTTACTGTACCTTCGAGTCATACAAACAAACTACATTAAAATGGAAAGGAAATAATTGTTAGTGCAAGGTGATGAATTTGAGGAAGAAGAGAGAAAATGAATAAATGCTAAAAGTTGTCACTAATGATTGAAGAAATTGATTGATATAAATGTAAACCTAGTACACCTATTTATACACAAATAAGAATGCCACATAGGCCCTAATCAAAAATATTTACAAATGACAAATACTAAATTACCCTCTAATACCATCCCGTAATTTAGTAATTTATCAGAAGTTAACAACACCAATTTCATCTCTCAAACGAAGAAATTGGTCTGTTTTTATCGCCTTTGTCAGAACATCTGTCAGCTGCTTCTGAGTGCTACAGTGCAGAACTTCTAACACTCCTTTCTGCACTTGACTTCTGAGAAAATGATACTTCGTCTCAATGTGCTTGCTTCTTCCATGTAGCACTGGATTCTTTGCAAGATTAATTGCAGACTTATTATCAATCATCAGCTTCAGAGGTTCCTCAACTTCAACCTTCAGATCATGCAGCAGATTCAGAAGCCAAACTGCTTGACACGCAGCTACAACACCTGCAATGTATTCAGCTTCACATGTTGACAAAGCCACAACCTGCTGTTTCTTGGAACTCCAAGAAATTGGACCTCCCAGAAACTTGAACAAGTACCCAGAAGTACTTCTTCTGTCAACTCTATCTCCACACCAATCAGAATCAGAATAACTCAGAAGTTCTAATTTGATCTTTCCTCCAGAAGGAAATAACACTCCATATTTCAGAGTTCCTTTTACATACCTCAGAATCCTGACAGCAGCTTGTTAATGAGACCACTTTGGTTTGCTCATGTATCTGCTGACCATTCCAACTGCATAACAAATATCAGGTCTGGTATTACACAAATACCTCAGAGAACCAACCATCTGTTTGAAGGTTGTAGCATCCACATCCTCTCCATCATAATCAGAATCCAACTTCTGATTCGTATCAGCAGGTGTGATAGCAATCTTGCAATTTGCTAGCTCGAATCTCTTCAGAAGCTCCAGTTCATACTTCTTCTGATGTAAGATGATTCCTTTCTCAGAGTATATAAATTCCATTCCTGGAAAGAAACTCATTTTTCCAAGATCTGTCATCTCAAACGCATTCATCAGAACTTTCTTGAACTCAACTGTTTCTTGTTCAGAACTTCCTGTGAGTAATATGTCATCAACATACAAACAGACTAGAATCATATTACCTTCTGAAGTATGCTGAACATAAACACCATACTCCATCTCACACTTCTGAAACCCTTGTTCCTTGAAAAACGAATCAATCTTCAAATTCCAAGCTCTGGGCGCTTGCTTTAGTCTATACAGAGCTTTATTTAACCTGTATATCATCCCTTCCTGATTCTTTTTCACAAATCCAGGAGGTTGTGACACATAAACTTCTTCCTGTAATGGACCGTTCAGAAATGCAGACTTCACATCCAGATGTATCAAAGGCCAATTTCTATTTGCAGCTAAAGCAATCACCAGTCTGATTGTTTCGTGTCTAGCTACAGGCGCAAACACCTCAAAATAATCTAGTCCAGGTTTCTGAAGAAAACCTCTGGCCACTAGTCTCGCTTTGTATTTGCCAATTGATCCATCTGGCTTTAGCTTCTGCTTGAAAACCCATCTGAGCTGATGGCTTTCTTGCCTTTTGGAAGTTCTGTCAGCTTCCAAGTCTTGTTTCTTTCAATAGCCTCAAGTTCTTCTTTCATGGCATTCAGCCATACTTTCTTCTTGAGCGCTTCTTCAATACCCACTGGTTCAGAATCTACTAGCATAGCACACTAAACGATTTCTCCTTCAGAATCTACTTCAGTATCATGCAACATGCTAAAATCTGCAAACCTACTTGGTATTCGTCTGATTCTCTGTGGCCTTTGATCTTGTTCTGAAGCTTCTCCAGAACTCGGAGCTGTGCTGACTTCTGGACTTTGTCCAGAATTATTTCCTTCAGAATTACCACCTTCAGAGTTACTTCTGGAAACTTGTTCTCCATACCCCATGTCTTCAGAGTTTTCCCTTCCAGAAGTATAATCACCACCAGATTCTGGATCATCATCAGAATCTGGATCAGAATCAGATCCACCATCAGAATCTCCCTGAGATTCTGACTCATCTTCAGAGTCTTCATCTTCTGACTCTGACTCGTCTTCAGAACTTTCAGAAACTAATCCTGGTGTTGGCACTACACCAGAATCTGATTGAAGTTTGTTCCAATCCCATGTTTCTAACTCTTTCACAATGACGTCTCTGCTGATTTCAACTTTGTTGGTTTTTGGACAATAAAGCTTATAGGCACCTCTACTGTGGTACCCCACCAGTAACATTGTTTTGCTTCTATCATCCAGTTTTCGTCTTCTAGCCTCTGGAACGTGTTTGTAGCATACAGAACCAAACACCTTCAGATGGCTAACACTTTGCTTGTCTCCAGTCCATTTTTCTAAAGGAACAATTTCCTTTAGCTTCTTTGTTGGACACCTATTCAGAACATATGCTGATGTGGCAAC